CACACTCACACTCACACACACACACACACACGCATGCACACACACGCATGCACGCACTCACACACACACTCACACACACGCACGCACACACACACACACACACTCACAGACACATGTCTGGTCAGCTATCCTTGTGGGGACTCTCCATAGGCGTAATGGTTTTTCTACTGTTATCAATCTCAGTCATCATCTGTGTTTTCCTGCTAATGAAACTCCGGCGGGAGCTGATATTATCACACACAGCTGTTTCTCCATCGCTGTATTTCCACACTTCACACTGGCAGACAGATTCTAGTGAGCCGCCCTGCTGTCTGTGCCCTACATAGACAGCATATTAACTGATGCTCAAAACTTTGGGGTCATGAGAGGTTTCCGTGTTTTTGAGTCTCTTCTGCTGCACTTATTTGATCAAAAATATAGTAAAAAATGACATATTATTAAAACTTAAAACTTAAAACAGCTGTTTTCTATGTTAATATCTGTTAAAATGTAAAAATGTAATTGATTTCTGTGATGCGCAGCTGTATTTTCAGCATCATTACTCCAGTCTTCAGCGTCACATGATCTTCAGAAATCATTCTAATATGCTGATTTGCTGCTCAAGAAACATTTCTGATTATTATCAATGTTGAAAACAATTATGCTACTTAATATTTCTGTGGAAACTGTGATGCATTTTATTTTTCAGGATTCACAGATGAATAGAAAGTTCAAAAGAACAGCATTTATTTGAAACAGAAATATTTTGTAACATTATAAATGACTTAACTGTCACTTTTGATCAATTTATTGCAGCCTAGATGAAAAACTATATATATAAATTCACACATTTATTTAATTATTTATTCATTCAGTGTATAATCAACAACTTAATAAAATGTATGTTTTTATATATAATGAAATTATATTTTATATATAAAAAAATAATGGTACATATAATTTTTTATATAAATGTTTTTTTTTATAATTTGTCAGAATGTGTTTGTGTGTGTAGGATATGACACATGGAGTCCTGGAGGAAAACCTGCGGTTATCATTTCAACTGAAGACAGTGTGCTTTTGCTTTGGGCTCCAGTGTGAGAACCGAACACAGTGAAAGCTCAGGTAGTGCGGGACGTGCCAACAGTTTCTGCTGGGCCTGAGTCACGTCTTCATGAACATCTAAGAACGCAGAACCTTTTCTGTGAGAGTTGGAGGAAAGAAACCATCATTAGATCAGTGTCAAACTGTAGAAGACTATGAAAACTGAGTGTCAGAGCTGGGAACTGGTTCCTACTGTCCTTCCCAGAGTTCCCAGCTTGAGAAACACACGCACACACACTCACACACACTCACACACGCACACGCACACACACTCACACACACTCACACACACACACACACACACTCTCTCTCACATACACACACACACAGGTGTCTGTTTGCATTCCTGATGCCCCGTGTCACTGGATTTCTCTATTGCTCCCGAGTGACAGAATAAAACCTTTTCCCACAGACGCATCCATCTTAACACTGACCATAGTGTGCTGACTGCTCTCAATCAGGTCCTCTTGATGTTAGAGTGTGCTGGAATGATACAGCAATGCAAACTCAATCTATGTGAGTTGGAAAGTGAGATGCGAATAATGCAATTTATGATAAATAAGCCCCGTTTTAGTTTTTCACATGTTCAACATTGATTGTAAAAAGCCAGTTTCATTGGAAAGTCGAATGCATGTGATCACAGAGTCACGTTTCTTCACATGTTCATTTTCTACAGATTGAGTCTGTTGTTCAGGACATTTTTGTTTCAGTACAGTGTCATTTTAATATAATTTTATATTGTAAATAATTTAAGTTTTCATTTGTTTTCATGTTTTCGTTATTTTCATTATTATTATTTTTTAGAATATTTTTTACTTCGCCTTAATTTATTATTTCAGTTTTAGTAATCTTAGTACTTATTTTATTTCAGTTAGTGGCTGAGACAACATTTTTAATTTGTAAGTCTCTTTTTTTTTTTTTTTTTTAAGTTTGTGTTAAACTAACCTTATAATGCTGGTTAGCGGTGTTTTTTTCTGTATTTAATATAATTTAATTATATAAATGTATTTTCTTAATAAATTAAGTGAAAGAAAAGCCACACAGGTCATTTCTAGATTCTTATAATTTTTTTAAAAGCAAAAATCTGAGTAGATGAAGGCTAGTGTTTAATACCATAAATTAATATATCCTGGGTTGCTTTAATTATTCATAACATTAACAAAAATCTTTTTTTACAAGAATTGTGTTCATCTAATATTTATGTTATTTTATTTCAGCAGTTTTTAATTGGTTTAATTAACAGTAACAACACTTTCAGTATTGTGTTTTATTTCAAATGCTTCTGTTTTTGTCGTGTATGTGTGTGTTAGCAGCAAACTTTAATAATTCCTGACAGTCTCTGACAGGTCTGTTTAGTTGTATCTCTCTTCCTCTCAACAGTCGTTCATTTGTGTGTGTGTGTGTGTGTGTGCGTGTGTGTGTGTGTGAGAGAGTGTGTGTGTGTGTGTGTGTGTGTGAGAGTGTGAGTGAGTGTGTGTGTGAGAGAGAGAGAGAGTGTGTGTGTGTGTGTCAGGTGGTGGAGCATGTGTTGTTGCGAACGGACCGGGGGAGGGGGGGGGATCACCATAGTACTATCTAATCATTTGTAAATTTAGATTTCATATGCAGTTTTAACTGTAGCTCTTGGACTGGGACTGAATCAGTAATTTAGTGATTTTGTGTTTGTGTTCTCGCGCTATATTCGGCGGGTGGCGCATGCGCAGTGTGCGGTGAGTGTCCCGCGAGGCGCGTGTAGCGCGCGGTTCAGCAACATCTGACAGCAGTGTTTATAGAGCCCAGAATAACCGCAGCCGCCTCGAGACACGCCTGCAGTTACACACCCTACAAGAAAGCCACGCCATGCTATACAGTAAAGCTATCAAATGATAATACGTCTTTCGCCAAAGTAAATACCACGAATTTCGGTTTATCACCGCATGGTATCATTGTGCAAATACACAAAACATGTACCATGGACCTTTATACCATTGTGGATGGATGTTGTAATCATTTAGTATTCAATACCAAAGTGTAGGGACATAAAAGGTACATTGAAGGTGCTTCTGATACTACCACAGCACCACTAAACTGGGTTTTATAAACTTAAAAGTTTTAGACTTAAGCATAAATGAGCCTGTAAATGCTTTGTGATGGTTATCGCGGCGGGTCGAGGGGCGTGGTTTAGAGTGCGGCGTGGGCGGGGCTTGGGTTGTTTGAAAGTGAAAGTTTCTGCAGGACTCTATCAGTGTGTTTGTGGGATTCAGACTCGTTCCGGATCCGTCTGCTCGTGATGTGGTCATGCAGTTTCTGAAGGGATCCGGAGCGGCGGTGGACTGAGACTTTCTACAGGCTGAAGGAGATTGCTGGGGGTTTTGATTATGTTTGTATTCATTCTTTTATCAGCTCTAGTCCTGTGTGGATGTGCGCAATATTCCAGCGACCAGTGCAACTGGAGAGGAAGGTGAGCTTTTACATTTTATATTAGAATGTCTTTATAAAATGTTTCTTTATTCTGTCCAGAGAAACTGCGCTCAAATGTAATTGCACATTAAAAATCTATTATTTTTGGATAAAATGTTAGATTTTTTTTGACTTTGCATGTATTGCATACGATTTTGCAGGTTTTTACAAATGTTTTTTAACAAGCTAGATATTTTATGAAATAGCCTATTGTGTCAATTAATCTTGCATGTTCGTAAGGAAGACTTTTGTGCATTCTTTTTTGGTCATGCAAAGAGATAGGACTTGTAATAATACTGTTAAGAAGTGTAATATGCAATGGGTTTAAATCATGCAATCCTGTGAGCGGTGATGGGGAAGGTCCGGACATGCCCTTACTGGACATGTTAAGACATTTTACCTGAAGACACTGATTCGCGAACCGTCAATTCGGCTGGATTAGTTTGGGAGTAAATTGTGAAACGGTTAACGAGTATGAATCATTAAGATCGCATCTGACACAATTCACCAATGTCACTGCATGGAAATAATACATTCCAAAATAATACATTCCAAAATAATACATTCCAAAAATGAACCGTCCGAATTGGACTGCTCGGCGCTATAAAGCGATAAAACTACCCCACAGAGACGTTCATCCTCATCTGCGCTCTCTCGCTCTCTCTCTCTCTCTCTCTCTCTCTCTCTCTCTCTCTCTCTCTCTCTCTTTGACTGTGTTTTGCTCTGTTCTCTGGTTTAGTCGCTGACTTGCACTTTTCCTTTCAACTCCTTCATTTGACTCTTTGAACCAGACCGCGCCGAATCTGGCCTCTATTACGCACGGCTTAATTGACTCCAGAAAATGATTTAATAACGTTAATTAAAAGCAAGCCGGATGAAATGGCGGGGAATTTCGGGGTCATGTGTTCGAAACTTGGCTCTTTTCCTCTGAGGACATTTGGCACTGATTTCAGCAGAAACCAAACCCCAGTTTAATGCTCATTCCCGGCCATGGACCCCATCAGCTGGAGTTCAGCCATCATTTAGGCTACTCCACACCTTCACTATTTGCTGGAAATACAGGAATATGATCAACCTGTAGTTTTGAATCAGCCGATCATTTTTTGAACTTATGAGTTTGAAAAAACTAAATTGGCAATGCTGCTTTTAAAAACAGGAGGAGGTCATCATTTTTCTTGCGGTGCACCTGAAGACTGAAGTGAAGAGTGTAAATCCTCTGCACACCCGTCGGCTGAGATCCAGCCGAAACACACTCAAACACTGCAATCATCCCGAAATACACCAAACCACAACCACTTGAAAGCGCTGTATGCGGGGGAAATGAAAATGTCACATCTGGATGACAGCTTGCGCGATATCTTTCATCTGCATGTAACCCTCCTCCTCGTACAGCCTACGATACGCTTGCTGGCTTCAGGCTGACCTCATACCTCACACTTTCCTGATGGTGCTCTGAGATGAGGAAGCTCGGGTCAAAGCTGGGCTCGTCCTGATTTGTCAAGCTCCAGATTTCTGTGTCATTTGAAAAACGAGCAGTTGTGTTTCTCTCTGCTGACTGAGAAAAATGACAAAAGCACAAAACAAACTAAATTTAAATGAAAGAATATGAAGCTAATAAATTCTATAAAAATATATAAACAATGTTAGAATAAACTGGCAAGATATCCCTGCATGCTTTAATGCATTTGCTTTGTAGAAAAAGTAGGTGAAATTTTTTTTTCTGCATTAAACAGTATTATTGTGCATTGTTAAATTGGTGCATTTAAATTAAATAATAAATGTGAATTTTCTTTGTCTTGCCAGTGATTTTTTACTATTGTTTAGATACTATAGTAGTATTTATTAATATTTTGAATTAGCTTTTATTTTTATATTTTCAGTTTTATGTAAATGTGGTTTGTTCGACTAATTTTGTTATATAATATTGTTATTATTAGAATTCATTCAGTTTCAGTTGTTTATTCTCATTTGGTGAAAGAAATGTGAGCCTGGAGCACAAAAGCAGTCTTAAGTTGCACAGAGATATTTGTAGCAATAGCCAACAATACATTGTATGGGTCAAAATTATAGATTTTTCTTTAATGACAAAAATCATTAGGATATTAAGTTAAGATCATGTTCCATGTGTCAGACTCTGTTCCATGTTTTGTGTGTGTCTTGCTCCCTATGTGCCTTCCGATGCCCATATTTGGTTTGTTTCCTGTTCCTGTCCTGATTTAGTTGATTTCTTCCCAGGTGTTTCCCATGTTTAATTTCCATTGATCCCAGGTGTGTCTCGTAAATTTAAAAAAAATTGACCCTCATGACTTGTTTTGTGGTCCAGGGTCACACATGTCAAAATCATCTGATTATTGTTGTTATTATTATGTTACTTTTTTAATTACACACATGCATTAAACATTTTGAATCTACTTGGTAACATTGGTTGTCTAAGCTGTGATTATTTCCTTTGACTGGGAAAAAAAAAACATCTTTTAAAGTCCTTTCAGAGTAAATCCATGAATATTAAGATAGATAAAGATAAATATATTTATACAATGTTGGATATGCATACATCTCAAATTAAAAAAAAATTGACCCTCATGACTTGTTTTGTGGTCCTGGGTCACACATGTCAAAATCATCTGATTATTGTTGTTATTATTATGTTACTTTTTTAATTACACACATGCATTAAACATTTTGAATCTACTTGGTAACATTGGTTGTCTAAGCTGTGATTATTTCCTTTGACTGGGAAAAAAAAAACATCTTTTAAAGTCCTTTCAGAGTAAATCCATGAATATTAAGATAGATAAAGATAAATATATTTATACAATGTTGGGTATTGTATAAATAGTTGTATCTCTGCATGGAGATCAGCTGATATTGAAATGCCAAAAAGCCAAACATTGTGAAACGGTATGTGTGCAGTGGTCTGACGCACGAGGCTCACGCGCGGGACGTGGAGCAGGTGCACCTGCGCTGTGCTGAAGGCTCTCTGGAGTGGCTCTATCCCACAGGAGCCGTCATCGTCAACCTGAGGCCCAACCTGGCGCCGGCGGACGGTCAGCTGCGCGCCTGCATCAAGCCGCGGCCGGACTCGCGCGGAGCCACGCTGCACGTGGAGCAGACCGGAGCGCTGCGGCTGCTGCTGACGGAGGCGGATCAGGCGGCTGGGCGCGTGCGCTGCTTCGCTCTGCAGGAGGGGGCGCTGTTCGTGGAGGCGCGCGCGCGGCGGGACATCAGCCGGAGAATCACAGCGTTTCAGTATCGGCTGATCTCCACACAGACGCCAGGAGACGAGCCCTACTCGCCTACAGGTACTGAGAACACAACAGCGGATGTATGCCTTTTTAAAAAATGATTTTCACTTGTTAACAAACTGAAAGACAAACCAGAACCCCCTCAAACTCAAGCGAGGAGAAAAAAATACAAAGAAGTAAAATACAGTAGTAATAATAATAATAAAAACAGCAATACAGAATCATAAAAACCTGAGCCTATGCATTTGCTCTGATTTTTTTAAGAGAATCATAATCACAGCTTAGACAGCCAGTGTTGCCAAATACATTCAACGCAAGAAGTAAAATATAATAATAATCATCAAAATAATCAGTCATCTTTTTCCACATTTTCATTACCGATTTAAACACATTATTAATGTTGAAAATAAAATGTAATATTTTATTTATAAATAATTTAATAATGCACAATATTGTTATTGTTAAATACATAAAAATTATATTTACCTTATTTTTTTATTTTATTTTTTACAAAATAAAAGCATTAAAGAATGTAAAATGTCATCTTCACAGTGGTATTTTAGTATTGTTTATATACTATTATTTTTGTTTGTTTTATTTATGGTAATATTTTATATTAAATTTTATTTTTATATTTTCAGTTTTCATTTTAGTTTAAGTTTTAGTCATTTTGA